CGTTCTTATACTTAAATGGCGATGGCAGCGCCCATTTTCAGTGTGTTTGTTGTGAACTTGCGATCCTCACCTGGTACGAGACATAGAGTAGTGATATATTGTATCTCTCCTCTATGGTAGAATACGAGACGGGGAGCCGCAATGCTCTTAGTAAAACATCTGTGATAGTATTAACCAATCAGTGTAGAAGAAACAAATGAGAAACGAAACCGGAGAACGATCGTGATTTGACAATTCAAACACGTGGAATTAAAGGGAGGGGTGCCGAATGGGCGGGCAAGTGCCTGATTTGCGCATGTGTTCAGCTGGCTAGTACGCCGTGCAAAGCCACGTGCTTGTTTGGGAAATACGATTTATAAGTGAGCCTGTGTGTGGTGAATGTTAATTATCATTGTTTTGGTGTTCAAGTTGATTATTTGTTAACATGTTTATGTTCTGAACACTGTGATTATAACTTCGTGATAGAATTTCGTTCTTTAAAACTCAAAGTAGCCGAAAGTTACTTGAAGATGCCGTCACTGAAGAGAAAAAGTAATTACGAAGAAGATTTTTCTTGCCATATGAATAGAGTAACACGAAAAAACAAAAAGACGCGATTGTCTCAGAATGGTTTTACTGAGAATGTTAATACACTAGGTGAAGATGTTACTTTGCCGGTGTACAAAAGTGATGAAGCTAATGACAGTGAGTTAATAACCCAAAAATTCCACCAAAAAAAATTAGTGAAAGACAATCGAAACGCCGAAATATCAAGAGCTCCATATGATTCCAATGGCTTGGTGTGGAATGTTTTGGAGAAAGCTGATGTGACGAAAAGTTGTACAGATGAAGATATTTTGGGTAAGTTGAACTACTCTTGAAGTGATGAAATTACTGAAACAGTTTATGCCTTTATTGGGGATGTTAACTTGGGCACGGATTTCGAAAATTTAAAGCTTAAATATAGGATTTTTGAACAATGAATTAATTATTTCTTGTAACCTGTTTTGTCGTAAATATTTACAAGTATATAAATGAAAATGAGTTACTCAGAAATAATAGGCATAAGATTGACTTAGAAGTTGACAATGCAATTTTGTGGTAGGTATGTTTGTAAAGAATGTTATCTTATTTCCAATCGTTGTCCAAATCTACCCCTTGCCTTTAGATGTGTCTAGTTTTCATTCTTTCTGCATTTATTTATTTATTTCTACTCTCTCCTATATGGTATGTCAGCACAGTTGTAAAAGCAGTAAGCAACTGTTTCTCAGTGTAGGATATAAATGTCAATAGGCTATAAATTAATTAATTATTACACTATAGGTCCACTACATTAATCTGATTTTAATGACATCAATAATTCAGAGACACTGATGCTGAAATGGCCCATAAAAGAAAATTAAAACATACATACTATAAAAACTTCAAGAACTTATTGTTACTTAATATTAAAATTTGCAAATGTTTAATATTAATCACTCAATATTTGCATTCTTCCATTTTCATTTATTGGAGGTGGGATCTAAAAATTCATACTGTAATAATTCATGTAATAATAAACTTATTATTAAATGACTTTTCACGATGTTTCAGGCATTAAGAAGGTGCATAAAAATAGGAAAAGCAAAACTAACAGAGGCAGAGTAGATGAAGAAGTGAAAGTCACAAGTTTGATATCAGTACAAAGTTCAGAAGTGAATGATGTAAAGGAAGTCATTTCGAGTAATCGAAATGACAACAATGAAAATAAAGCTCAACCAAAAGTTAAAAAGAAGCACAAGTTGAAGAATAAGTTTAATCAATCTGAAATGTGCTGCACCATTGAAGATGATATGCCATTAGTTTTTGACAGGGAAAAGTTAAAGAAAAATGAAGTTCAGAATATTGAGAATACTGTGGAATCAGAACAGAATGGTGGGATAACAAATCAAATGCAAGTGGAAGAAGTGAGGCAACGACAATTTGAGTTGGAGAGGGGAAAGACTTCAAGAAATGTGAAAAAAAATAAGAAAAACAAAACCTTGCCAAATACTGAGAATAAAGATGTCAGTGATGAATATGAAAAGAATGATGTGATAAATGAAGTATATGTTGTTAAAAAGGAAAATGTAAGGATGGTGAATGAAGAATTTGATGTAACGGAAGCTGAGACAGAGAATGGAAATGTAAGGGAGCAAAAGAGAAGTAAAAAGAAAAAACGAAAAACAAAAAGAAATTCAACTGACAACAGTGATGAATGTGAAAAGAATGATATGATAAGTGAAGTAAGTGTTGTTAAAGAGCAAAATGTGAGGATGGTGAATGAAGAATTTGATGTAAGGGAAGCTGAGGCACAGAATGGAAATGTAACTGAGCAAAAGAGAAGTAAAAAGAAAAAAAGAAAATCAAAAAGAAATTCAACTAAAAACAGTAATGAATGGGAAAAGAATATGATAAATGAAGTAAGTGTTGTTAAAGAGCAAAATGTAAGGACGGTGAATGAAGAATTTGATCTAAGAGAAGTCCTAACAGACAATGGAAATGTGCCTGAAAAAAAGAGTAAAAAGAAAAAAAGAAATTCAACTGCAAACAGTGATGAATGTGAGAAGAATGATTTGGTAAATGAAGTAAGTATTGTTAATGAGCAAAATGTAAGGGTGGTAAGTGAAGAATGTTATGTAAAGGAAGCCGAGGGAGAAATGGGTAATGTAACAGAGCAAAAGAAGAGTGAAAAGAAAAAACGGAAATCAAAAA